TGGCAGAGAAACCAAGACTCATTTCTACCTTCTATGTATATGAACAAAATGCCACATTTCACAGTGAATTCAAGAGTGATCCACGCTTCACCCTGGATACTCAAACAGGTCAAAACAACTTAATAATCTCAGATGTGCGCATTTCAGACTCAGCAACTTACTACTGTATATGTTCCTATTTACACACATCAACATTTTCAGAGAGCATTACTGTTGGTGTTAAAGATTCAGATTTGAACATCAAGGCTGTGGTCCAACAATCAGCTTCTGAAACCATCCAGCCAGGAAGCTCTGTGACTCTGAACTGTACAGTATACACTGGGACTTGTGATGGAGAACACAGTATATACTGGTTCAAAGACTCTGAAGAATCTCATCCAGGACTCATTTACACCCATGGCGGCAGGAATGATCAGTGTGAGAGGAATGCCAACAGAAGAACACACACCTGTGTCTCTAACTTGACAATGGAAAGCCTGAATGTGTCTCATGCTGGGATCTACTACTGCGCTGTCGCCTCATGTGGACACATACTGTTTGGAGGAGGAACCACGCTGGTGTTTGGAGGTAAGTAGCAGTATATAACCCAAATCTGTGACTGTTATTTTATTATCTATCTGAAAAGAAAACCTAAAGTATAGAGAAGTCTGTGCTCAGAATTCTTGGCTCTTTACAGATGAGGCAAAATCTCTTGTCTTGGTGTACGTCTTGAGTGGAGCATTGACTTTTACCTCCACCCTGGTTTTTTTACTGGCTTTTCTTCTCTACAAGATGAGCAAAAGAAACCACTTCAAATCAGGTACTGGAAAAAAGTGCTGCATTTGACAGTTTTTATTCACTGATTTGGACTTTTAAGTGAGACTGCTGTTTTTGTATTTTACATTCAGGCCATCAACAAGCAAGACTTTCAACTACCTCTGCAGAGGTACGTTTCATCTGTTCAGATTAACGTAATATTGAAAAATAGTTTAGCACATATTACTTTGAAATATTTTTTTCCAGAAACTGTAATTTGATCTACCTCTCAAATTTGTTTTTACCAGGGTAGCCATGATGCAGACAACCTCCACTACGCTGCTTTAAGCATTAACCTGCCCAACAGATTGAAAAGACAGAGGAAAACTCAGAATGAATGTGTTTACTCTAGTGTCAAGCAGTAGGTTACATTTTTTCCACTCTAGTGAGACAAAAAATCCACACTGTCATGGGGTTTGTGTTTTTGGTTTAAGTTATACTCTGTGGATTATGGTTTTCTGTTTGTAATATATTTATAGTTGCTGGTTTCTAGGTTTCTGTTCTGTTTCTGTGCCTCCTCTTTGTTCTTGGTAAAGGTTTAATTCTGTTCTCAGTGAGTTGTATGCTTAGTCTTAGTTTCTGTCTTTATGTCGTCTCTGTGTTCCACGTCTAGTTACTTTTGTCTCTGTGCTTAATATTCCCTCTGTTCCAGAGTCTGTCAAGTCTGCATCTTCGCGGATCTTTCATGTGTTAGGCTATGTCCTCTCTATTTTTGGTAATTCCACGCCGGTGGAAACCCAAACAAAACACGCGTTAAGAGGCTCTAATGCGGCCCATGTCACCCCTACTTGCGGCCCGCATAATGACGTGACGAAATACTTTTAAAAAATATTGTTCAAAAATTTATTAATATAGAGGCAATATGCAGAGTGTTACAGGCATAGCCCTAAAGAATGCCCGTCATAGGCCCAGTTGTAAGTAAAAGCTATTAAGACTCGACTGTACACTGTGTTCGTGTTTTCCTCCGAAGCAATAAGTTGGAGCAGCCTTTCAACTCCTCTCTCTGTCTCTCACTAGCAAAGTTGACCCAGACAACAAAGTAAAGCTAGTTTTCAGCTACAAGCCCGACATGAACCCGATGTATTAGCCAGAGGTCCCTCTACTACTGTGTTTCTTTTTTTAAATAAACCTGTAGTTATGTTGTTGTATATTATAGTCACCTCTTTCTATTTTGTAATCAATATTCTTAAACTCACTTAAAGAAAATGATGTGTGGTTGTTGTTGGATTAGAGATGGGGGCAATCCCTGGTCCACATACTCAGATGAAAAACGGGCCTTTAGAATTTTTAAGAAAAATGTGTACAAAGAGTTGATTGATCAGTGCTGTTTTCTTTATTTATAAACAGTTTTATTTTTCTTTTTTGCCTCAATCATGAAGTCTAACACTATTGGCTGCTCTGAACATGTGATCATCTTTCCTTAACAAAAGACATACTGTGACACTTCTGCTTGGCCAATCACACACAGTCTTGTCTAACAAGAACAAAAATAAAACAGAGCATCTTCAACCGGTCTTTTACTCGCTAACAAGGGAGAGCTTGGTCAGAGCCAGGCTGTGGAGCTAAACGCTCCTCACCTGTGTCCAGCCAAGTCCTTCAAAGAGCAGCTCTCCTCGTAGCCTTTTTATTGACAAACTGTTACAATACACAACACAACGCAACGCAAGCACCTCCCACCGTAAAACCCCCTTTGGTTACAAAAGACAAGGCACTACATGTGTGTGTATGCATTTGCAAGAACGTGTGTGTGTGTGTGGCATGGGGGTGCATTTGTGTGACCTCCTGCTCACCAAAAGGATCATAAAAGCAGGAAGCTTACAACACAAGAAACAGATCTTTCAGATAGGATGTGCCTAATAAAACCCACATCAGCCTCCTCCAGCACCAAATTGGCTGGAGAAGTGTTCAGAGACAAAGGAATGTCTTTGATCCTACAGTTCGAACTAAGACTTTACAAATTTAAGAAACACAATGACAACATTCAACAATTTGACTCCAACAGTTGTGGTCCTCTACGTGAGTTTTGGATGGGAATAAAGAAAACCAGATCTTCAACCAGACCTGATTATTAAATTTCCTAGATTGTGAATCTGTGGCTCCTGCTTTTTCTGAGTTTTGTATTGTTCTGTTTTTTGGAAAGTATTCAGTATTAAAGCTGCCTTTTTGAGTTCACTTAATGCTGAATGAGTCCTTCATTTACGTCCTACGTTGCCTGCCACTCAGAGATGGACATCATTGTCACGTTCCTGGGTCTGTTGACCCAGAGTTTTATGTTTTACTTTATTTGGATGTTGATGCTTATGTTTAAGTTATTTAGGTGCGCTAAGTTCATTTGTTTATTAGATTCCCTTTATGTTTTCAACCCCAGTGTTACATCTCCATTGTCCTTTATGTGTTTCATGTCTGTATGTCTTTTGTTATCAAGTTCATGTTGTCATGTCTGCTTTTCATTATGTTTCCTGTTTTATTTTGAAGAGTTCCTGTGTTCATTGTGTTTAGTTTTACACTTCCCTGTGACATCGTTATGGTCATTTGTTTATGCTGTTTCCCCACTGTGTTCCCACTTCCCTCATTAGTCTGCTGTGTGTATTTAGTCTGTGTTTTCTCATTCAGTCTTTGTCAGGTCGTCTGTTGTTTTCCATGCCATGCTTCAAGGTTTCCATGTTCCACGGCTCAGGTATTCATGTCCAAGATTATCTGTGTTCTTATCAGGATCTTTTATGTTGTGCTTTAGTTCTCCCAGTTTAGGTTTCAGTTTTTCCCTTGCCCTCTTTGTTTGTAGTTTTTTTGCCAGCCCTCAATAAACAGCTCACTTTTTGTTTATATCAAGTTTTGTTTCATATTCATTTGTGTCTGCATTTTGGGTCCACTCCTCACTCCATACAGTCTGCCTCAGCGAGACTGTAACAATTATTCAGTGTCCAAAAGTGGCTCTGTGTTAACCTGGCGGAAAAATAGCAACCTGTTCAGGGTGTAACCCTCCTTTCAGCCAATGGCAGTTGGGATATTCTCTGCAACTATGAATTGGAAAGTGAAGGAAAAGAAAGAAATGTAGAAACCAGAGACCAAGAGCCAACCCTCAGTTAGACTCCTATAGGTTCAGGCTGCTGGGAGATTTGCAACAAGAGCAGAAGAGTGTGGCTGATTACGTTGTGTAATTTTGGGGGATTTTGGCAGAGTAAGCTGGTGAGTAAGCTGGTTGGGAACCAAGGCTCTCTGTGGTGTATACATGGCATAAATTATTATGAGAGATAAATTAACCACTAAAACGTGTACAGATCCCATGAGGCAAAAAATCTCATATATCTGTACTGTGATTAATCATCACCATCCTAAACTGTTCCCACAAAGTTGGAAGCATGAAATTGTCCAACTTGTCTTGGTGTGCTGAAGCATTAACAGTTCTATCACTGAGGCTGTGTTGAGATCCTGAAAAACAACCCCACATCATAATCCCCCTCCACTAAACTTTACGCTTGGTAGAGGGCAGTCAGGCAAGTACTGTTCTCCTCACACCTAATGGTATCTAATGGACTTTATCTAATGGTAAAGTCCAGACTTTACCATTAGATTGTCCGACGGAGAAGTGTGATCTGTCCCTGCAGAGAAGACGTCTCCACTCCTCTGGCATCCAGTGGTGGCATGCCTTACGCCACTGCATCTGACGCGGTGCATTTAGATATATGATGTAAGGGTTTGATGCAGCTGGTTTCCATGAATAAAAAAACCCACTCCATTAAAATGATGTCGTTCAGTACTTCAATTTCATGGAATTGTTAGTCTGTCTGGAAAATTGTGGTGCAGTGTACAGCATGGATATGAACTTTACTTTTATTTGTGTTGCACTAAAGGACAAGATCGTGATGGTAAAGTGCAAACTGCCCAAACACAAGATAACAAAAAAAAAAAAACTAGGCCTCATTGCTAGAAAACAGTAAATATAGGAAAAGGAAAAACATAATAATATTGTAGTTATAATTACGGTCAAGAGAGGTGCTGAGCTGTCAACTGATCACCAACTGGTGGTGAGTTGAATCAGGTGGTGGGGAAGGATGCTGGACAGACCTGGTGCACCGAAACGTATAATGCCTGGCAGAAGCCTCTGCACAAGAGATCATCAACTCCAGAATCCAACAGAGCTTTGACAGCATTCTGGGAGAAGGGAGCAGGAGATTGACAGATGGATTGGTATGGTGGCTCAGTTTACTGGTCGTTCTACGTCCCTACCCTCATTTATGGTTGGTTTACGGGTG